GAATGGATAAAGAAACACGACCCATCTATTTGCTGTCTATAAGAGATCCATTTTAGACCTGAGGACACCTTCAGATTGGAAGTGAGGGGATGGAGAACTATCTATCATGCTACTGGAAGTTAAAAGAAAGCTGGAAGAGCCATACTTATATCAGACAAAATAGACTTTAAATTAAAGGCTGTAACAAGAGATGAAGAAAGGCATTATTAATAATTACAGGGTCTATCCATCAGGAAGAGCTAACAATTATAAATGTCTACACACCGAATTTGGTAGCACCTCAACATATAAAACAATTAATCACAAACATAAGCAATCTTATTGATAAGAATGTGCTCATTGCAGGGGGCTTTAATACTCCACTTACAGCAATGGACAGATCATCTAGACAGAGAATCGGTAAAGAAACAATGACCCTGAACGACACATTGGACCAGATGGATTTGACAGATATATTTAGAGCTCTATATCCCAAAATAGTGGAATTCACTTTTTCCTCTAATGCACATGGCACATTCTCCAAGATAGATCACATACTGGGTTATAAAGCAGCCTTCAATAAATAGAAAAGATTTGAGATCATACCACGCACACTTTCAGATCACCATGCTATGAAACTTGAAATAAATCGCAGGAAAAAGTCTGGAAAATCTCCAAAAACATGGAAGTTGAAGAACACCCTATTAAAGAACAGATGGGTCCACCAGACAATTAGAGAATAAGTTATAAAATCTATCGAAAAAAATGAAAATGGAAAAACAACAATCCAAGCCCTTTGGGATGCAGCAAAGGCAGTTGTAAGAGGAAAATACATTGCAATCCAGGCCCATGTCAAGAAACTAGAAATATCTCAAATACAGAATCTAACAGCACACTTAAAGGAACTAGAGGCAGAACAGCAAAGTCATCCCGACCCAGCACAGACAGAGAAATAATGAAGATCAATGCAGCAATAAACAATATAGGATCCAAAAAGATAGTTGAACAAATCAATGAAACCAACAGTCAGTTTTTTGAAAAAAATGAACAAAATTGATAAACCTCTAGTGAGGCTTCTCATAAAGAAAAGAGAGTGGATGCAAATAGTTAAAATCATGAGTAAAAATGGATTTATTACAACCAATACCTCAGAAATAGAAGCAGTTATCAAGGAATACTATTTATATGCCAACAATTTGGACAGCCTGGGAGACACAAATTCTTAAACACTCACACACTACCAAAACTCAAGTGGGAACAGACAGAAAATATGAACAGACCCATAACTAGTAAGGAAATTGAATCAGCTATCAAAAATCTCCCAACAAGTAAGAGTTCAAGATCAGATGGCTTTCCTGAGGAATTCTATCTGACATTTAAAGCAGAGTAAGTACCTATCCTTCTCAAGCTGTTCTAAAAAAATAAATGGAAGGAAAACTTCCAGACTCATTCTATGAAACCAGCATTACTTTGATTCCCAAACAAGACAGAGACCCAGCAAAAAAAGAGAACTACAGGCCAATATCCTTGATGAATACGGATGCAAAAATTCTCAGCAAGACACTAGCAAATCGAATTCAACAGCATATAAAAAGAATTATCCACCATGATCAAATGGGATTCATTCCTGGGTTAAAGGGCTGGTTCAATATTCACAAATCAATCAGTGTGAAACATCACGTTAACAAGAGAAAAGAACTATATGATCCTGTTAATAAATGCAGAAAAAGCATTTGACAAAATACAGCACCATTTTTAAATAAAAACCCTCAAGAAAGTCAGGATAGAAGGAACTTACTTAAACATCATAAAAGCCATTTATGAAAAGCCTACATCTAATATCATCCTCAATATGGAAAAACTGAGAGCTTTCCCCCTGAGATCAGGAACACAACAGGATGTCCACCCTCACCACTGTTGTTTAATATAGTGTTGGAAGGTCTAGCATCAGCAATCAAAATGAACAACAAAATGAAATATAATCAGACAACAAAATGAAATATAATGCATCAAAATTGCCAAGGATGAAGTTAAACTTTCACTTTTCATAGATTACATGATACTCTACCTGGAAAACCCGACAGATTCCACCCAAAGTCTGTTAAAACTGATTCATGAATTCAGCAAAGTCACAGAGTACAAAATCAATGTACAGAAATCGGTTGCATTTTTATACACCAATAATGAAGCAACAGAAAGAGAAATCAAGAAACGGATCTCATTCACGATTGCACCAAGAAACACAAAATGCTTAGAAATAAACCTAATCAAAGATGTAAAAGATCTGTATGCTGAAAACTTTAGAAAACTTATGAAGCGAATTGAAGAAGACACAAAGAAATGGAAAAACATTCCATGCTTATGCATTGGAAGAATACATATTATGAAAATGTCAATACTACCCAAAACAATCTGCACATTCAATGCAATCCCAATCAAAATTGCACCAGCATTCTTCTCAAAACTGGAACAAACTATCCTAAAATTTGTATGGAACCACAAAAGACTGAATAGCCAAAGTAAAGAAGAAAACCAAAGTGGGGGGTATCACATTCCCAGACTTTAGCCTCTACTACAAAAATATCAAGACAGTATGATATTGACACAAAAGACCAATGGAATAGAATAGAGAATCCAGCATTGGACCCACAATGGCCAATCTTTGACAAAGTGGGAAAGAGTATCCAATGGAAAAAGACAGCCTCTTTAACAGATGGTGCTGGGAGAAATGGACAGCAACATGCAGAAGAATGAAACTGGACAACTTTCTTACACCATACACAAAAATAACCTCAAAATGGATGAAGGACCTGAATGTGAGACAGGAAACCATCAAAACCATAGAGGGGAAAGCAGGAAACAACCTCCTGACCTCAGCTGCAGGACTTTCTTACTCAACACATCTCCAAAGGCAAGAGAATCAAAAGCAAAACTAAACTATTGGGACCTCATCAAGATAGAAAGCTCTGCACTGCAAAAGAAACAATAAAGAAAACTAATAGGCAACCAAAAGAATGAGAAAAGATAGTCACAAATGACATATCAGATAAAGGGCTAGTATCCAAAATCTATAAAGAACTCACCAAATTCCACACCTAAAAAACAAATAATCTAGTGATGAAATGGGCAGAAGACATGGATAGACATTTTTCCAAAGAAAGGATCCAGATGGACAACAGACACATGAAACGATGCTCAGCGTCACTTATCATCAGGGAAATACAAATCAAAACCACACTAAGATACCACCTCAGCTGGTCATAGTGGCTTAAATGAACAAATTAGGAGACTCTGAATGCTGGCGAAGATGTGGAGAAATGAACACCCTCCTACACTGCTGGTGGGACTGTAAACTGGTGCAGGCCCTCTGGAAAACAGTGTGGAGGTTCCTCAAAAAATTAACAATAGAACTCCCCTATGACCCAGCAATAGCAGTGTTAGGAATTTACCCAAGGGATACAGGAGTGCTGATGCATAAGGGCACCTGTACCGCAATGTTCATACCAGAACTTTCAACAATAGCCAAATCATGGAGAGAGCTTAAATATCCATCAACTAACGAATGAATCAAGAAGATGTGGTTTATATATACAGTGGAATATTATTTGACAATGAGAAATGATGAAGTCTGGTAATTGTAGCAAGGTGGATGGATCTGGATGGTATTATGCTAAGTGAAATAATAGAGAAATCAGTCAGAGAAAGACAGATACCATGTGTTTTCAGTCATATATGGATTAGGAGAACCTTAATAGAAGACCATGTGGGACGGGAAGGGGAAAAATTGGGTACAGAGAGGGAGGGGGGCAAACTATAAGAGACTCTTAAATACTGAGAACAAGCTGAGTGTTGATGGGACAGGAGGGAGAGGATAAAGTGGGTGATGAGCATTGAGGAGGGCACTTGGTGGGATCAGCATTTGGTGTTGTATGGAAACCAATTTGACAATAAATTATATTTAAAAAAAAAAAAAAAAAGATTTGTGATATGGGCCAGACCATTGTAGCAGCCTTCAGTTTGTGGGTCCTGATATATAAACACTTTATCAACATCATGACATTTTGCAGACCGAATAAACAAAATGGCTAAAGGCGAAAGAGGAAAGTTACAATGATCTATTGCTATAAGATTAGCACTATATTTCACTTTTGGGCATAGATGCAGTTCAATTGATGTGGGGGGGGGGAAGCAGGTCTTGTTGTCTGGAAAATCTTATATTCATGGAATAAATCAGTGCCCTCAGATCCTAGTGAAAAGAAGTGAATTGTAAGTACATAAATGTAAAAATATATACTGAAATACATCCTCCATGTTATATGATGAAAATTTATGAAGTTTTTAAACGTTTTTTTAAAATTTATTTCTGAGAGAGAGACAGACAGCGTGAGCAGGGGAGAGTCAGAGAGAGAGGGAGACACAGAATCTGAAACAGGCTCCAGGCTCTGAGCTAGCTGTCAGCACAGAGCCCGCCATGGGGCTCGAACACACAAACCGTGAGAGCATGACCTGATCCGAAGTCGGATGCCCAACCAAGTGAGCCACCCAGGCACCCCAGAAAATTTATGAAGTTTTTAAAGGAAATTGCATATAACACCTAAATACTCCACTGTGTGACAGCAATTTCTTTTACATTCTCACAGTCCTCTGAGACCAGTGCCTCTGAGTTAACCATGAGGTATTTAAAAATTGAATTATGTCCAAATGTCATACTGGGCCTCAAGACTAAGAAAACAAAAAACTATTCTTATAAATGTACTCCTCCCAAATCTTCAATTGTAGGATATGTGATGAGTATCAGCCAAGCACCTGATTCTTTTCCATTTGATTTAGGTTGTCTTCCTTACTTGGGTCTGTCATGAACATCTCTGTGGAAATGTGCCCCCAACTGCAGGGAGGAACTGGTCAAGATGTTCACTCTAAAGTAAACTAGGTTATATTTAGACCACAGCACAACCAGGAAGTTTCAGAATACATATGCATCTTGGAGGAGTTTGCTAAATGTCTTTTTTTTTTTTTTTAACTATGGGAAAATGTGAATGCAATCCCACACTACCACACATTATGCAGTCGAATTTCTCACCTTTGGGGAAATTACAGGAGTCAGCACATCCACAGTGCAATGGATAAGCCTTGTTCTAGGAAACCCACCTTTGTGATCATGGTTTCTCCCCTGCCAGGTAAGTATTGTTAAATGTCAGATTTCAACGTGCAATAGATTTGAAAACTAAATATACTTAGGAAGGCTTCAAACAGAAAGGCAATATGGACTCATATTGTTATTATGTGATATATAAACAGGAACAGTTTATTTGGCAAAAGCTTGGAAGTATTAGGGTTGCCAGAGGAGACAGGAACATATTCCATTACCCGTCAGTGCGAAATGAATTCAAACGGTGAGTTGTTTTCCTCAGCCACCATGAGCCTTGTTTTCTGATATGATCCAGTTGAATCTGGTGGGGGGGGGGGTAGGAACTAAAATAATTAACTGTACACCTCACAGTCTGTAGCAACTTTTAAAGTCTAAGGCAGGACCTAGAGGTAAACATTATCATTTTACCAGAGAAGCACAGAGGACTTGACATTGTCCTCAGTTTTCATGGCTCTGGCTGCAGGGAGTATTATGTTGAGGAGCAAAATGGATCAGCCTTAATTTAGCTGAGACTCCTTATTCAACAGAGGACAGCATCTTACATCCTTTTCACTCATTTTGAATTTTGCACATGTCAGTCCCTAAGGTATTCCTTGTAGAAAGTTACCCTTGCAAAATCCAGGATGGACTCCATAGATTTTGTGGTAAATAATTTTGGGAAATGTTATATACTTTATCTCCCTCTTAAAGATTCATAATGATTTTAGTCATCTTATAGACTCTAAGAAGTTCTAAAGTCAAAACTTTTTTTGTATTCCTTTACAAATACGTTTTTATTCCATTATTTTTGAAATTTATATAACCATTGTTGGCATATAACCAAGCCCTAAAAACTCCACCAAAAATCTATTAGAAATAAAAAAATGAATTCAGTAAAGTTGCAAAAATTAAAGCCCAGAAATCAGTTAAGTTTCAATACACTAACTAATACCCCCAAATCAGTTGTGTTTCTATACACAATAATGAAGTAGCAGAAAGAGAAATTAGTAAAAAAAAATTCATTTACAATTCCAATAAAAACTAACAAAATACCTACAAATAAACCTAATAACAGATAAAAGACTAGTGCTTGGCAAACTATATACAAAATTGGTGAAGGAAACTGGAAATGACATAAACAAATGGAAAAGTATTCCATGTTCATGCATTAGAAGAATCAAAATTGTTAAAATGTCTATACCACCCAAAGCGTCCCTATCCAAATACACATAGCATTTTTCACAAACTAGAACAAAAGGTACTAAAATCTGTATGAAACCCCTATAGACTCTGAGTAGCCAAACCAATCTTGAGAAAGAACAAAGCTGGAGGGATCATAATCCCAGATTTCAAGATATACTACAAAGCTCTAGTAATCAAAACAGTATGGTACTGGCACAAAGAAAGACATAAATAAATGGAACAGAAGAAAAAGTCCAGAAATAAGCCCACACTTTTATGATCAATTAACCTATGACAAAAAGGCAAGAATATACAATGGGGAGAAGAAAGTTTCTTCAACAAATGCTTTTGGAAATATTGGTCAGCTACATGCAAAAGAATGAAACTGGACCACTTTCTTACACCATACACAAAACTAAACTCAAAATAGATTGAAGACCTAAATGTGACACCTGAAATCATAAAATTACTTGAAGAGATCATAGGCAGTAATTTCTTGACATCAACTGTAGCAACATTTTTCTACATATGTTTCCTAAGGCAAGGGAAACAAAGCAAAATTAAACTATTGGATGTGGAGTTATTTTTAGGGAGTGTATTGTAAGCCTTGGGGAAGTGAATGGGGTAATTACTGAAATGTCAGTGATATTCTGGTCTCAAGAACACAATTGTTTTATGAAATCCAGAGCCCCATGATCTTCCAGGAGCCTGGAAAGGACCCGCTGTAATTGCCTAGCAGTCCTTGAAACTGCACATCTTCCCTGTATGCTTTCACGCAAACACCAGATGTGTGTTTGGTCTATGTCTGGAGGCTCTTTGTGTTTTCCTTCCATGCTCTAACATTCTTTGATTGTTATACCAGGTGAACATGAAATAAAGACTATGTGCAGGTTACTGCTGCTGCTTTTTCGCTAGCAGAGGCAGCCCTGCACCCTGCTCAGTCTCAGTGCCTGAAAAGTCTTTCTTCAGTGGCGTCCCAACAGGGACCAATAGAATCGACTGGCTCCCTGCTGTGAACCTCCTCTCTCAAACCGAAAAACGGGAAAAGGATATCTGCTCTTCAGGTAGGAATTATCAGCACTGAATGCCCACGATGCTCATTCAGGTAGGAAATGCTGGCACTCGATACCTACCATGAGATGAGAAATTTATCCATAATCTTTTCTGTTCCAATCAACCATGCAGAACCCCTCGTCGTCTTGTTTCTTTTCATTTTGTTTTCATGTTTGCTTGTCATGAGGGTTTAACTAAACAGCAGAATGTACATAAGGGACAACTCCACATGCTTTTGCACTCATCAGGATGTAAAGTCTCAGACAAAGTTCTGACCCAGTTGCTCTCTATAATTTATCAGCAATGCCCCTGGTACTCTGCTGAAGGGTCCCTTGAAATGGCCCGATTGGGAGTCCATAGTGTGCTCCTTAGAAATGCTTTTGGCACAATAAAAATCTCTCATTTACACACCTGGAATATATACCACATTGCTATCCATATTTGACAAGAAAAACCTAATTGAAATCGTTGGCAAGATTTGGGGAAAATATAAAAAAATAAAAAAAGAATTTGCCCAGGCTTTAAGAGAGTGAGACCTCTTTCTCTGTCCTCTGGGCTTTTATCCATCTCCAGCCTTCTTGAAGTCACCTCACCTCTTCTGCCTTTCCCTCCTACTTTTACACCACCTGGGATGCAACTTTCATGACTGACTTCTATATCTTCTGGGTGCCTCCAACACCATGGACTTCTCCTCCAACTGTCAAGGAGAACACCCTTGGACTTAAGGTGCCTCTTTTTTCTTTCCTTTCCTTTCCTTTCCTTTCCTTTCCTTTCCTTTCCTTTCCTTTCCTTTCCTTTCCTTTCCTTTTCTTAGAGAGAGATAGCGAGAGAGAGACAGCATGAGCAGGGGAGGGTGAGAGAGACAGGGAGACACAGTATCTGAAACAGGCTCCAGGCTCTGAGCTACCTGTCAGCACAGAGCCCCACACGGGGCTTGAACCCATGAACTGTGAGATCATGGCCTGATCCAAAGTCAGACGCTTAACCAACTGAGCCACCCGGGCACCCCTTAAGGTGCCCAATTCAAGTTTCCTCACCAATATCCCAAATAAAAATTGAAAATGGTAAACATATTGCTTGACTTTTAAATGGACTCAAATGGAACATATTTGTTATTTAAAATACTTTATTGATTTAATTAAGATGGATCTGTCTTTAAAATTATCAACATTAAATATAAAACTTCTTATACCTAAGTTTAGTAAAGGTCAAATAAGCTCATGTTGTCTCTGTTGCAATTTGTTAACAACAACAACAACAACAACAAAACAAAACATAAAATGATGGATAATTCTCCTCAAAGATTTTCATGGGTAATTGTTAAGATAGCTTTCAAGCTTGGTATCCTTGGATGATAAACTGGATTAAATTCATTTGGCATTTAGGCCTTTTCCAAATTGGATGAAATGCTAAAGCATGGCTTACTGAACATAGGTTTGTGCTTTTGGCTTCTTATGACAAAAGAACTAAGAATATTTAAATCTGTTAAAGAACATGCTTCATGCCTAATTGACTCATAAATTTGCCATCTAAAAAATTCTAATAGAAAGTTCACAGTTGGTTACTACTTAGTTTTTACTGGAGAGTACGATTTCTAAGAGGTAAAATTCTGCTAAATGTAATTAAGACTGATGAAAACAAGAAAAGCAACTCTGTAGAAAAGTAGGAGATATGTAAAAAAGATATAAAGAATGGGAATGCATTTTTGTTAAAAGTTAAATTAAAGTAATTTTGCCAAAAATGAGACTGCTTGTTTGAAAAAAATATCCTTGGAGAAAATCTAAATACAAAGAAAAGTTGTAGATGGTTCATAAATAATCTTTGGGGAAAAATTTATATGTGGTTAGGATAGACTAAGGTTGAACTAAATGGATTTTAAAAATACACTAATACAAGATTAAAATTCTGCTTTTCTCTCTGTTCAAAAACAGTTTTTTTGGGTTGTGGATTTGCTCTTTAAAAAATGTAAACAAAGGTCTTTTCTCTTTTGTCTGCCAAAAAACCCCAAAGATTTATGTTTTGTCTTTTTTAGGTCTTTAATTACTTAGTCAAAACTTCTCAATGTTAAAGGAACTAGGTTTTGTTAACAACTATATAAACCTACATATTTGCCTTAAAAATCTCTTATTGCTACTTGGGTTAAATAAAAAATTAAAGTTTATAATAATCTGTAATCCTATTTAGGGTGTGCTTTGTAACTTTATAAAGTTTTAACAAACTTCCCAAGAATTAAATTGTAAATAAAATCTTTTAAACCAAATGGGCCTTATTTGATATGTTACTTAAAAAGCACTGTCAAACAAATACTAATAAACCTTAGGTTATATTGCTTGGGTCAATGCTATAACTGCTCAAATATATGTAAAATTCCTAAAATTTTAGTATGTTTAATATAAGTTTATGACTTAATATTCTAATTATCAAAATGTTATATGTCACAAAAATAACTAAATTTCCTTTCAATTATATCGTAATAAACTCTCAAATCACATTATTAACCATGTCCATTTTTAAGTCTTTTGTCATTTATAATTATTGTTCTGATGCTCTTACAAAATGTGTTTCATATCCAAAGAGATTTATTTAAAAAAAAATCCTTTTAGGACAAATACAAGTATTTGACATCTTTTAAGTTCATAAAACAAATGGGTAAAATGTTCCCAAATTAGAAAATTACATTCAAACTAAACAAAAAATAATAACATAAAACTAAGTAAACAGAGAGAAAAATTTTATCAACTATCAAAGGACTCTTATTTGGACTTCTTTCTTTTTGTGATTCTAATCATGTTTTGCTGTTTTCTCCTATGTCTCTCCACCTG